TCCCGGTACAAACACTTCTATAGCAGGAATAAATACCTAACAACACTATAACTTGCACAGCAGGATTCACAAGTTTGTGAGCGCAGTGCCACTCTCAAAAGTTTAAGTCTCGCAGGTTTCTTCAGTGACTCCCTGCTACCTCTGTGTCGCAAATCAAGTTCATAAGTGATCCTTCCCCAGTGATAGAGAAAAAATCGTGTTGTAACGTTTATTCCCCTCATTAATTATGTGCAACTTATCCCACTACAACTGGAAGATGCGCAGACGTCCACCAGCAGAAACAGTATATACCAGACTATTGTAGACTACAAAGTCGTAAATTTCCTCTCCACCACCGGATAAACACTGAAACAAGAACCAAAACGTTAGATAAAAATTACGGGTCGACAATCCCTACTTAGTTCAAACATTGCAAAACCATACTTGTCCTTTCAATACTCATGAAATCAGATTGTGAACAGGAATACGAAGAATAGCTTGCAGTTCTCTTCATGTTACACCTAGTACTTTTAAAACTCGTGATCTGTTCAGACCAGGGAATGAAATAACCTTGATGAGACTTCCGTTACGTGGATCCCAAACGCGCAGTTTACCATCTAAACATGCACTTACGAGTTGGTTTCCGTGATCTAACCACGAGCATTTCACGACGGCTTGTCCGCCATGTGAGAGATTATGGCGAACAGTAAATGAGCCCCCGACTTCGTATAAGCTTAATGTGCCGTCAGTGGAAGCGACAGCCATCCACGGGTTTTGCTCTGTGAAAAATCGAACGCATTCCACAGAAACCTGCCTGTTTTTTGAACCCATATCATCACCATTACCCTGAAATACTTGACATTTGAAGGACAAAATAGAACAAATTGAGAGGCGAAACAAACGAAGATGAATGACTGTTAGGTTTATAAGTAAAAGAGAATTAAAAGTGTTAAATAATGCAGAATTTCAAACCATTACCTCATTACCTGGCGTCAAAACCAATTTTGACATTAAGGAATTCGACTTGGTATTGATCATTAAACAGCATCCATTATCAGTACCTACGACAGCCCAATCAACCGTGTGATGCACGTCAGCAGTTGTACATCCTGAATCCGCAGATGCTAAAACAGTGGAGGCGGTTTCTTCTTTCAGAGACCAGATTGAGACTCCACCATCTCCATAACCAGCCAAAAGCCGTTTTCCATCACGCAAGAGTTTCCCCACGGTGCATGCGGCACCTGTACCAGAAACGAAAGTCTAGAAACTTGACAAGGTGACAAGAAAACTACTTACTTAGCACTATCTACCAAGGCCAACTAATACACCTTAGTTTGAGCTACGCCTAGAGAGCCAATCAAATACATCCATATGACACCATCACTGCCACCGACAAATAAAACATCAGCTGCAAAGTGCCATTCTAACCACTCTAGATCACTGCAATCGTCAATCTGAAAAGATCACCGCGTTTTGAAATATATGTAATCTCCAATCAAAACGTAAATTAAGTACCATCGTAAAAAGAAAGTTGCAGATGAAAACTGCAGCAGATCAAAAGAAGGATGCAACTGCAGGGAAAGGTGAACGCACCTCGCAACAAAAGTTCATTTTTAGCATGTCAGTAATGATTACTTTCCCCAGCATATCGCCAGTAGCAAGCAATGTTCCTTTCGCATTGAACTTGACGCAAGTAACCGAATCTGAATGCTTGATCCGCAAAACGGGGCCACTTTCTTAAGATGTTCTTTAACAGTACCATGTTTCATTCAGTAAAATAAAATTAGTAATAACAGCTCAGCGTATCTTATGCAGTCCAACAAGACGAGGAAAATAAGAACAAGCACAGTTTCAAGAAAAAAC